TTTTCCTGCAGGACAGTTCTCAACTGCTCATTTAGTTCATCCTGCAACGCAGTGGAGAGAGTGTGGAAAAAATGCTTTAAAACTGAATGTCTTCTAAATCTTAACTGTGTTTCCAGCAGGCCCCAAAGCTACTCACAACCATGGAACGAGTTTCCTCTAGCTGAGCAGAAAGTTCATCAACTTCAGCTTTGTGCTCTTTTCCTCGCACAGCCTCTTGAAATCTTAGCGCACCAGCTTCCCTCCGTAGGGTCCTGGCCTCGGCCTCCCTGCTGGAAATATCGCTTTCCATCATTGACAGGATGTGAACCGCCTGAGCTGGAGGCGAAAATAGAAAGGATGAGACGCCGTTCGTCATATCAGCAATCAGATAACACATTCCCCCAACTCAGCTCACACAGGAAGTTGGTGTTGTGATGCAGTGACCTCTGTCCTCTCCAGTGTTTGTCCACAAGATTGAGAAGCATCTCCAGGGGTTTCCTGTAACTGCCCTGTAGTTCAGTTATTATAGATACGTTTTTGGAACAACATTTGTCCAGTGTGAGCGAGGGAGTCATGATTTAATGCTGAATTCACTTTCCAACCTTTTTTTGGTCGTTGTGCTGCTGCAGGCTGGAGGACACCTCTGTTTGATTAAAGCTGGAATAGGTTAGTCTTGGTGGGTGTAAAATAGGATTAGAGGGGTCAGACAAAGCGACACCAGGACGAAGTGGACTGGGAGGACGGATATTAATAAGTGATGAAATGGGATGACTTGGATCTGAAAAAAAAATGCAATATTGTTTAATAACATTAATATTTTATAACTAACTGTAGACAATGTTTAATGTTTTACACAATTCTTGTTTAAAAGAAGCATCTGTTCTTTACCAGGATTAGGGGTAAAATGACCTCTGGCTTCATGTATGGTCCGTTTAGGGAAATCCTTTTCTTTTCTTTGCACAGGTCTTTTGTCTTCCACACATGGGTCAAAGACCACCTTCCGATGTTCAGTAAGATTTAATGGAGTAGTACTTTCTTTACAGGGTGCACCCTCCAGATGTGGCACTTTGGACTCTGCATTATCTGGTAAATTATTTAAAAAAAGACACATTAAAAATTTAACCCTAGCAAAAGAATAAATGAAATGGTTTGTCTCCACCGTGTGGTGAGTTAAAAGACTGCAAATTAAAAACTTACCATAGTTTGTGCGGAGACGTCTATGTAACGAATCACCCTTTTCCTAAAAAAATTGCAGTGTGTTCATTTTGTCATTTATATATATATATACATATATATATATATATATATATATATATATATATAAATAATACAAATATACATATTATAAAATCGACTTGCCTGCTTTGGAGTTGAACTCCTTTGCTGTTTTATCGACTTTTCTTTTGTGGTTTTATGTCAAAAAACACAATAAAAATAATTTATTCTCAAAAAATCCCCTACATGTATTTCTGTTTCTCGTTTTTTTCCCCTAACACTTGATATCTACAAACGCTAATAGGCTTTGACATCTTACCTTCAGCCCCTCGTTGAACACAGGCGCTTTCACTACGACGACTGTAATTTCTTTCCAGAAGGTTCAGCACAACATCATCCGTGTCAGTCAACAGAGCGTGTCTCTGTTTTCTACAGTCGGCTACAGTCGGACTTTGGTGCCAGCTAAGAAACAAACACACTTTCACGATGCTAATACATGCTCCTTAGCAAACAGGACAAACACAATACAATGCTTTTGCCCGTTAAACGTGATATATAGTTTACACCAACGCAAGAAGTAGAATATTTATGCAGTATACGCATAGGAAATTACTTTAATTTCTTAAAAGCACTTTCGTGAATTACATTAGCCTAGCCAGATTTAACTAATTTATTAATTCAGAGAAAGTAAATGTAAAACCTCAAACTTAAACTATAATTTAAAAATGGATGGTATTAAAAATATAATTAGGGCCAATAAAACCAATTTAAGAGATAAAAATACAGGAAAACATTTATAGTCAGTTATTATTAACAAATAAACATGTAAAACATGATTTTACAACTATCATTATTATTATAGATAACATACTGGGCAAGCACTGAGAATCTGTGATGATGAGGAGTAGGGAAAATAGAAATAAATACCTATGATGTTTATTCCTAATATAAGAGGAGTTCTTTAGCTGAGGTACACCATCAGACGAGAACTGCATTATAGCAGCTTTACGCTCAGTGTCTCTGACTGGACAGTCGTCTAAACAGCAAAGAAAACACCAGCTTGTGTCATAATTGTGCATTTAAAAAAATGAAATGACAGAGATGCTAACCCTTACCGAGTTTGCGTAGGTTTGGCATAGTGTGCACCAGATAAGAGCGGTAATGTTTGTCACGTTTAGTCACTGGGTTGAGTCTCAGGTCCAGCTCTTTTAAATTTTTCAGCTCGCACAGCTTTTTCAAGTTATCCAGAGACGGAATACAGTTATAATAGAGGATCAGACTCTCAAGGTTCTTCAGGTGCTGCACTCCCTGGGGGGGAAAATAAAGAATTGAGGGGATGTTACCTCAAGAAATAATTGGTGCATATAAAATAAAAGATTTTTTAAACGTGTTTCTAAAATGTACAAAAGGACATATAAACGCAGTCATATAAACACAAAAGATTTCCCACAATTCACTTTCAGTACATCTCGCAAGATATCAAATATAAACAGTAGAGTCTTATTATAGAAAGCTATATATACAGACATACTGTATATAAATTAATATTATCATATAATATTATATTATTAATAATAATATTTTTACGACTATTTTGGTATCACATAAACAACATGTGTGAAAGTAAAAGTGAAGTTACCTCAACAGACACGAGTGCATTGTAGGACAAATCCAAAACCTTCAGGCGGACAAAGTTGTTAAGAGCATTACCCAAATGTCTGATCTTCTCCTCGTGTGTCCCCGGAAGGCTGAGAGAGCGGACATCAGCTGTTTAAAAAACAAACAAATAAAAAAACCTTTTATATACGTAGGAGCTAATCCGTGTCACTGATTGAGCTATGGGTTGCACGTTTGTTTAGACTGCGTTAGCTGTCTGGGGCTAAGCTGCTAGTCAATTACACGTTTAAAGAACAGGAGTTAAAGCACACTTTCAAACATCCTCGTTCGTATTAACAAAATTTGTATTGGTTACCGAGACACGGGTGCGTAATGTGTAATCTGTCTCGTATCCACTGTTCCGTGATTGTTGTGGTCAAACAATCCGCGGCCATATTTTTCAAACTCCTGCCGCTTTCTGGTGCTGTCGGGAAAAGTTTTTAAGACAGTGTTACTGCCACCTTCTGTTTTGAAGGTTGCATTACAAGAATTTTATTTACTGTGCGTTCAGTACAGTACATAAGGAAATAAAAATAAAAAGCGAACTATCTTGCATGTTAATTAAATAATAGCTAAATGTGGATGTATGTTTTTCAGAAATGTATTTAAAAATATGTTATTTGAAGCTAGCAAAAAGCTCTGGATTGGACATTAAAAGATAAAGTACAAATAACGCAAAGTAGTTATGTAATTTTAACCGGTGTGACTTATGGTAAAAAAAACAACGCAGGCTTTATTAGTGCTGGAAGAAATATAACAATCCCCACTCCTTCCTAGTAGCGGGATGTACCAGGGTACATGAACGCATCTTTTGGAGCATGCCCAGTGTGTAAATCCGCGCAGTCACATGTCAAAACAAACCTACACAAAGTTGTTCCTGTTTTCTGATAGACCGAATGAAACATTACTTGTCTTTCAGACATTCTGTAAAGCAGATAGCAACAACCTGAGGTAGCACATGTTTTCTCCAAATAAGCGTCGCGATTGTGTCAGTCAGTGACATCCCAGTCCGGGATCAATGGCGTCCAGTTGGACAGAATGGTTGAATTCATGCTCCAACATCATCTTATCTGTCACTGCTCTGTTTTCTTCATACAGACTCTTTAAGGTATGTTTAAGTCATCTTGTTATTTACTAACTTTACCTCTACAAAAACTCCAGGACGTTTGGATGGACGTTTGACATTACTTGCTTATTACGGTATAATTATACAAATAAAGAAGCATTATACCCATTCCTTTGTATTGTTTCCAGTTCATTCTCTGTGTTTAAAAAACGTAACAACAGGAAAACATTGACAGGATAGCTGGCTTTGGTCGGATCGGTTGGCTTTGGTTTTAGCTAAACTTCATCTAAAGATGTAAAAAGTAAAAGTTATTCTTTAAAAATTAAGTAAAGAATTAAGTAGATTTCATCATAGTTACCTCTGCACCCCCATCTTGGCCTTTATAATGCTATTTTTGTGAATTTCAACTTCTAATGACACATTGTACTTAAAGTAAATACATTAAATGCATATTTTGATTACCATTCCCAATACACTCTCTCCACAGTATACTGTTATATCTAGCTAACGTTAACATGTGCTACAGATCTCTGTTTCTGAAGCTTCTTCCTCCTCTGTCCCTGCAGGACCACAGAGCTCCGTCTGTAGGATTCTTTCTACTTGGGCTCTCCGCTGCAGTTGACATCGTGCCCTCATCCACCTCACATATAAATGCCTTCCAGAAACAAGCAGAGTGGGCCGGAGAGGTTTTGGCTCCTGCACTAGTCTCATTTGACTTCCTGTGGCTCAGTCAGGACCACAACACTGCAAATATTCTCTTGTGTGGCTCCTGCCTGCTGCTGGGACTGTGGGACTGGGTGTCGGCGGACACTCTGACAGTGTTGACCCACACCCTGAGCCTGTCCTCTCTGTCCTGCTGCCTTATAGTGTGCCTGTTTGCTAGTCAAGGTTTAGGGGCCCTGGGTGGTGTGGCCCTCAGTCTTCCACTGCTTATGACTCCACAGGTGGGAACGAGCACCCTCACACCTCTTGTTTCTTTGGCCGCCTCTGATAGACTGGTGAAGTGGGTTTTAAAAGGGTTTTTAACAATAGGATGCTGGGCCTCCACCAAGGCCCTCAGCAAGTTTCTGTTGGATGTGACCGAAAGATGTGAATTAATGTAATAAAGTTATTCTAAAATGTGTGGTAATATCATGGTTTTTTTTAAAATATTTTTGCAGAGTGCTGACATAACTTGCGTGTTTGCGTTGGAAATGTGATCAGGAAATAAAATACAGAAATAAATAAAGAGATGTTTGCGTTGGAAATGTGATCAGGAAATGAAACTGTGTTCAGTTTATGACTGGGAAAAAAACAGAAATTATTCAACCAAAATCTAAAAAAGAAATTGACTATTTTCTTAGTCAGACAGACCACACATTTTTGCTCAATAACAAAGAACATTGCAGGGACCAAAACCCACATGTTTTTTTCATTATCAAATTTAGCCCTATTTAATGAGGGTTTATACAATTCTACACAAATTCAAAACAATTGTTTTTAAAGCATGAATCGCAACTGATTCTCAAGATGGACTTTTGATACGTTTTCTGCCATTTGTATTAATTATGTGTTGCTATAGCACTGCACACTTGAACAGACCATGAGTGTTTTGCTAACACTTCACCATGACCTCTGACCCCAGAGCATACTCTTCAGGATGAACTCACTCTCAGGCTGCTGCACTGATCTCTGTTCTTATATGTACGTTCTGCAGCTTCAGCAGGTGCAGGCGTCCTTGTTCTCTCCCCTCGTTTTACTTCATTGCTGAGTTTTGGCACATTGTTATCCTTTCATGGTATTGACCATCTTCCCAGAGGTTTGCAGTGGACACTGCAGACTCTCCATCATGACCTCAGTTGTGAACCGCTGCCTCTGCAGTTTCACTGCATCAGTTTGTACTGTGTGTTTAAGCCTCGGTGGCTCTGTGCCCATGTGTGTGTGTGTGTGTGTGTGAGACACTGGCTTTGTCTGTTGTCATGGAACAGTACACTGAAGATATTGTCTGTGGGATCAAAAGCATAGTGCAAATATACTCTATATATTGTGCTAATTTAATCAGCAATTGCTGTTGAATGATGTATTTCTCAGTTGAGATTATTTTGGGATTTATTTTTAAATGCTACATTAATAAAATGTGTTGTTTACACAAATAAACTGTCATTTTTACACATTTTTCAGACACTTTAGAACATTATATCTATAAGAACCTTAGACACTTCGTCCATCTTGTTCTTCACTCAGCATTACTTCCCACAATTCAGTATGCCTCACACAGCTTCATATTCTTAACCATCATTTTACTGCTGCAGCGAATAGGAAAACTGCAGAGAGCATGCTCACTGCAGATGCAGCCTGTGGATTTGGCAAATATGGAGGAGAGGGAGGAGGAGGAAGAGGTGAAAGGGGAGGAGGGAGAACAGCTGAGAAGGAGCTGCACGGGGGATGCTGTTGCAGCTCTTTGGAATCAGGACTGCATGGAAGCATTTGTCATTGAGGACGTAGATGGAGCGGCAAAGGGGAATACAAATGATGGGGGAGTCAGAGTGTGATCTTACGATAACAGCAGCTCTGTGAGAAGGTAAGAAATCACCTTTTGTTTTTCACTGATGCACTGGAATGGCAGCTGAGGCAGAGGCAGAGGAAGTTGTTTGTTTTTTCATGTCTTTTCTCTTGTCCACTGCATTATAGACCTGAATGTGCGTGTTTTTCACAGGGACTCCTCGGCGACACAGAGATGTATGCATTCTACTCCCTTTTAGTCTACATCTTCTACACTGTCTTTAAGAAGGAGGAGGACGATGCACTGGAAGGGCCGTGTGCAGCCTCCTCAGACGTATGTTTTGCTAAATCATGTCCGGCTTCAGGGCTCCATTAACTCATTAAAAAGTCATTATATTTTTTATTAGGATATAAGATATATTTAATAACAATGTGCTGCTAAAACAGATGTAGGTGAATTGTAGCTTTTCCTCCTTACATGTATCCACATTTCTATGAACCTAATGTGTGAATATTTTGTGCAAGCCTGACCCTTATGTGTGATGCCGTACCCAGGAGCGAGGACATGTTTCCATGGAAACAAGGAGCAGGAAGAGAGATGGCCACACCCCTAAAATGGACAGAAAGGCTTGTTTTCACCTCAGTGAATCAAGTGAGTGGTTTATATAAACACGTGACAGCTGTTTTTAAATACATATATATATATGATGTGACTGTCTACTACATGCATCCCACTACTTTCCACTGTTGTCATTCAGGCAGCAGCAGTGACAGTGATGAAATATCCCTGAGTGATGAGGATGATGAAAATGGCCTCCCAGCATGCACTCCTCTGGCTGCATTTCTGACCTTTAAACAGGAGACTGAGAAGAGAAGAGCCTCACAGGTTCAGCTGGAAACAGCAGGAAAGGTAAACAAGAGGAAAAAAAACAAGCTGCAGCGTCAGTTTTAATAAGCATCACACACCCACTGTGTCTGTGTGTGTTTCTGTCTGTTCTTCTCAGCTGCCAGACTCTCCCCTGGTGGCAGTCATGTCCCACTTGCTGAGCTTTCTGGAGCAGTACTCCTACTTCCAGCAGCTGCAGCAACAGGCCAACCAGTACAGGGTCCAGCTGAAGAGACACCGCGTCCAGCACCGCCGGCAGATGAAGGCGCTGCGGGCCTCCTACCGTCAGCGACTTAGGGACAAGAACAGCATCATCAGCAGCCTGGAGGACGCCATCAGTCAGCAGCAGAGTCCCAGCCCACAGAGCGAGGGTGAGGAAAGGGGGAAGGAGGCGGTGTAAATGGGAATGAGCAATGGGGGAGGGAGAATGTAAGGTGTAAGGCAGAGTTGGTCTGAAATTATGGAGCACTCTCCTTTGTCCTGTTGACCACTCAAAGCACTTTACACTGTAGGTTTCACCATCTGTCCACTGATAGCAAACAGATCAATAGGTTGATTTATGAAAAGAGACTTCTAAAAAGAGAGCATAACGATCAGTTCTCTGATTTACGGTGAAATGGAGCTGGTACTTTTTTCAGATGGTTTGAAAAAAGATTTTATCAGGCAGAAAGTGATTTCTTTGTCTGAGGTTGTAATTTCACCTGCAATTTTCCCCATCTTCCTTTGGCTGGATTAAATTCCCGTCTATTAGAAACACAATGCACGCCGTGGGACAGAGGAGAACAGACTGTTTCAATCCACTGGGTGGTTGTTCCCAGTCAGGTTGTCTTTAACGAGGTCACAGGCGCCACGATAACACTAAAGAGCCAAGAATAAGCTCTGAGCCCTTTCATGTTACCTCTGCTTCTTCTCAAACGTGACCAGGTGATCGTATGATATCAGAGCACAGGCTTCCAGCTCCACTCTCTGCCGTGCGTCTGCTCAGTGTGCTCTTAACTCTTCCTGTTGCTGTTGACCTCAGGAGATCATACGTTTGGATGATAACCAGACCAGGTCGCACTTGAACTGAACGTCTGTGTGTTTTTGAGCAGAAGACCTGATGTTCACTGACCTTCATTAGATCCAGGACAGACATAAAAAAAACCCATGTAGATGTAACATGAGTGCGTGGTAGGTGGAGAGTGACTCTGCAGCTCAGTGTTGTGAATAAAACATGGCTGTCAGTGGTGTTTTCTTTCTAACAGCCACACATACGAGGTTGACACGTGCTTGGCTGCACGTGTTGGACTATAAATAGGCGGAGCCTCAGGTCTCCGTTTTATTAGGACGTTAGCCTTGTTTTGTTTTCCGTTTTGAGAAGTACTGTTCATGATGTGGAATATTGTTATTACAAACAGTATTTGGACATATGTACTTTATATATATATGTATTTATATACAGTATATATATGCATTTCGTCACATTTTAATAACTTCATAAATTGAATTAGTCACTATACTGTATATGTATATATATATATAGTATATATGTGTGTATAAATATATATACTGTATATACTTTAGTCGAGCTTCAGCTTCCTCTCCCTCTTTTTATTCCCATACCTGGCATCACCACTGAGACAAAGCAAACCTGACAGGTCGGATTATTTAAAGATGTGCTAAACAAAGTGTAACTGAAGATGATGAATCACTGAGGTGAAAAGCAATTAAAGAAAAACATTGGGTGTGATGCCAAGGGAGCTGTGCAACAAAAGAAGATGTTTGGCAGGTTGTAGGGTCGTGTTGCTGTGGAGACATTAAAGTGGGAACATGCCAGTGATGATGTTAATGAAACACTAGAAAGTTGGAGTAAATTCTTAGATGGTGTGCATTACAAACACACATGCCAATAGATCAGTACTGATGCTGCCTCTGTCCTGCAGGTGAGTCCAGCAGCGATGCAGGGACACAGGCCGGGGTCCACAAACTGGTGGAGTCTCTTTATGGCCTGCAGGGTGAGAGGAGTAAGCTGAGAGGAGAACTGCGTCTGCTGCACTCACAGCTGGAGCAGAAGGAGAAAGACAGACACTCTCGCATTCAGGCGTTTCAGCAGCAGGTGAGCAGCTGCACTGGGACTGTGAAGTCTCTCCTGTCAGTGTCAGTGGGAATGTTTGTCATGTGACATCATGTCAAGTTATATAGGAAAGACATGGTGTCAAAGGAGACCTTGTACTGTTAGGAGAAAATAATCAAGTTACATAAATATGATGAAAACACATTTCACGACATGTTTGTATTCTTAAAATCTAAAATGTTCTCATCCTGTGATGCAGATTGATGAGCTCAAGAGTTGTATAGAGGAGCGAGAAGAGGAACTGTCAAGACTGAGAAATGCCACAGTAAGTACTGTGGACAATTGAACTCATCACATTTTTCTTAGGCTTTCAATATATAGAGATCTCTCTCTATATATATGGATATACCTATTTATATGTATTGATATATCCATATATATTAATATGTGCATGTATGTATGTAGGCTGTTACTTAACAGCTCTGGACAACTGAGTATTGTATTAAAAGTATATTATTATACATATATCATATTCCCATTTTAATATTTTTGCACAAGTCTGTACAAAAGCTACTGTGTTTCACCAATCTCTTGCTATGTTTTCTTTTCAGGGAGCCACAGACTCAGAGAAGCGCGCGCTGTGTCTGTCAGCAGAGAACGAGACTCTGAAACAAAGTCTAAGTGTCACTCAGGGCCTCCTGCAGCAGCTGTCGTCCATCCCATCTCAGTCTAGCACCATGCTCATCAAGGTGAAAGCACGGCCGAGCTCCACTGATGTGCAACTGTGAGTTAACGCGAGAGCAGTCACCTGTAAACCCGGTTCTGTTTTTTGTTCTTTTTTTCCCACAGGAAAACGAGAACCTCCGCAGCAGAATCCAGCAACTGGAGATCTCTCTCCAACAGCGTGCAGAGCAGCTGTCACATCTGGAGCGTCAGAACGAACAGTGCGAGTGGAGGAGAGCGGAGGAGCTGAGGAAGCGGGAGGACAGGGTGAGGGAGTTGCAGCTGGAGTTGGACAGAGAGAGGGTGAAGGAGCCGGTGGTGAAGGTAAATCCCAATGTTTGAATCATTTGATCATGTCAGAACACATGGTGTGCAGGTTTCTTGTTTTCAATTTTCCTCTCTGTTATCACCAGTATGTCACTCAGACGGTGGAGGTGGAGTCGCCTGCTACGCTGAAGCAGCTGAGTAAAGCCAAACAGAGGAACCAGCTCCTGTCTGAGAAGCTGTGCAGCCAGAATGAACGCTGCAAACAGCTGGAGCAACAAATCAGGAAATCAGACGAATACAGCTGCAACCTCCAGCACAAGGTAACAAACTGAGCAATGGAAGTTTAACTAGTTATATATATATATATTGTTGTCTTTGATTATCAATGACATGTTACGTAATGGGCTGGATTCGGCCCACGAGCCTTGATTTTGACACATGTGGCCTGGCACCTTTATCTTCAACTTTGGCTACTTGTTCTCTCCACGTAACCGTGTTTCCTACAGGTACTCCACCTTCCACACAGGGTCAAACATACGGCCTGTGAGCTAAAACCGGCCCGCTTGATGAATTGTGAAAATAAAACAAAACCAAACACTTCATGTTCAGGAAATGTTTTGTGAAATTATATTCTATTAATTATGAAGATGTATTTAATATATTTTTACCTTTTTACGTGAACATAAAGAGGGAAAACATTGTTATTGTTATTTATACGTAATTATGTTATGATTGTAGTGGTCCAGCCCACTTACATCTAACTAGGTTGTATGCAGCCCCTAAAACATGTATTTGACACCCCTGGTCTAAATTGACAACAGTCCTAGTCCTAATAAATCCCTGCAAAACCCAGTGAAGACTTGCAGCAGTAACGGGCTGGATATAAATCAAATGCTCATTTGGCATGACTTGTTCTGTCAGTACACAAATGATCACGTTTGGCCATCAGCCACACAGTGGCAGGGGAAATCCTGGCCCGGCTGATCGTGTCATTTAGAGGAGAAATTCTCATTCTGGATCAACTCCAATGACAAATGAAATAATTTGAGAGCTGAAGCAGCACCGGCTGACGCAGCTGAATAAATTTTTACAGATCGCAGCATACGAGCGAGAAATCAGTAACCTCAGAGAGGAACTGCTGAAAGAGATTGGCCACTTGGAGGAGAAGAAGGAGGAAGCTGTGAAGGCTGCTGCCAGCTGCTCAGCAGAGCACTTTCAGAACCTGCAAGAACAGTTCTTCAGTGAGTAACTTGTTTTATTCCTAAATGAAGACGATGTCAGTCATGTGAAGCCACACGCCAGTCAAGTTCTCAAGTAGCCTACTTTCAAACTTCCAAAGATTGAAATAATCTGGATTATCGGGAATATCCTAGACTTGTTCTTTATATGTATCTGAATGTCTTTCTATTTCTAGCCTTGCAGACACGTCTGACTGCACTACCGCCGACTTTACGCTCCATGAAAACAGACTACGCCAGTCTGAGGAGCCAAGTTCGCAACTTCTCAGACTTTTATGGAGCAGCTATTAATGACGCAAAAAAACAGGTACTTAAAGGGTACATACTGAGATACTGTTATGTAAGTCGTACTTAATACATACTTAATTTATACATTAAAATGTGTTGGTGCAGTATGTTCCAGCCGGCCACTAGATGACTCCAGGCATGATACTGCCTGGTCTTAAAATCCCAAGTTCAGTTACATCAGAAAGAGCATCTCTACCACGCCAGAAATCTATTTTTCTTTTAATGTCTAAATTAAATGCCAAATAAGGTTGTTTATGCCCTTCTGATAGATATGGTAAACCGATAGGATAGTGGACAACAAACTGTGGTTTGTGATGTCACAAAGCAAGCAAAATCGTAATGACTTGTTCGGAGACACATTTCCAGATTCTTTCGGATTATAAACTATCTACTACTCAGTTGAAACTGTCACATAAGGATCATACAGAGAGATGAAAACGTTGACAAAGTCAGTTTCACATAATACCTCCCCTTTGACTTAGCAAAGTTTCATGACTTCATCCACATCATCAGATATAACAAACTGTAACATTTACTTTTTTTCCTGCTCCATGTCAGATTACTGCTGCCATCAATGAGATGTCTGAAGCCAATCAGGATCTTCTGGAGAAGTATAGGAAGGAAGTCGCTTTACGCAGGAAGTATCATGAACAGCTGGTGGAGCTCAAAGGTATGTGGAGAGGAAACAATGAAATCTCCACAGAGGTTACAACTAGCTTCACCAACTTCACTCTTCTTCCTCAAGGCAACATTCGGGTCCTGTGTCGAGTGAAGCCTGTGCTCAAAGAGGACCAGCATGAGGAGGGTCAGTCTGTGGTGGTAACAACTGACCCCAACAATGAGTCCTCCCTCAACGTGCTGAACAAAGGGAAGGGTCGCATCTTTGAACTGGACAAAGTCTTCCATCCTCAGGCTACGCAGGAAGAGGTAGTGCAAATAACTACATGACACCAAGGAGATTATTCTATTGATCTAGAAACCTAAATGATCGATTCCCATCTACCAGGTTTTTCAGGAGATTGAACCTCTGGTGACGTCCTGCATTGATGGTTACCATGTCTGCATATTTGCATATGGACAGACAGGCTCCGGGAAAACCTACACCATGGAGGTATAAACTCATTCAGTGGACTATTGGCCATAATAGCATACGTGGATTCTTGTCAATATATGACATCCACCACTCACACTCAAAAGGTTAAACAAGTTTTTACAATTATCATTAATGGTAAAAGCAATAAAAAGTTAAAGCAAAAAAAGCAGTAAAAGCAAACATCGATTAAATTCAATTAAAAGCATCCAACTCAAGAAACATGTTTTTAGGGGAGTGTGGAGAATCCAGGCATAAACCAACGAGCCCTGAAACACCTCTTTGGTGAAATCGAGGAGAGGAAGGACATGTGGTCTTACACTGTCACTGTCAGCTCTGTGGAGATCTACAATGAAGTACTGAGGTTGGTCTCACATTAAACAAGACTTTTTGTGTTTTTGTTTTTTTTTGTTACAATTTGTGAGTGTACTATAAGCCTGCTTTTTATATTTTACCCAGAAAGTACCTGAAGTTCCCATTTCTAGTAGTTGCCATTGTACCAACCATTTTATTTATCTCTACATTTGTGTTTCTCAGAGACCTGCTGAGTAAAGATGGAGAAAAACTCGACATCAAAATCAACCCAGATGGAACAGGACACCTGCACGTTCCAGGACTCAGGTTGATTGAAGTTAGAAGCTTTCAGCACATTAAGAAGGTGACAGTTATTTTGCAGATCTGTTAAACTCTGACTGTATAATAGTTCACTGTAGTGTTAACCCTGAATTATTTTTACACTGCACCAGATTTTAGCTACAGCCCGTAGAAACAGAATCACCTTTGGGACTCAGATGAATCAGCACAGCTCTCGCTCCCATGCGTTGCTGTGTATCACTGTTGAAGGCACAGACCTGGCAACAGGCTCCAAAACCACTGGTGAGTCACACATGCAGCACCATATAAATAACTCTTCAACTACATCAGTGGTTCCTAAATTTAGGGGCTGGCCGCCCCTAGGGGGCACGAAGCCAGGCAATTTCATTGTAATACTGTATTTTCTATAGGTCGCACCACTGCCTTCTAGCGGCTGTCAGTGTGAAAATAACAAACATGTGAAATTATATTTTTTAATATATAAGTCACACCTGAGTATAGGTTGCAAACCCAGCCAAATTATGCAAAAAGTGTGACTTATAGTCCGGAAAAAACTGTAACTATTTATTTATACATATTTATCTCCTCAGGTAAGCTAAACCTGGTGGACCTGGCCGGATCAGAGAGAGTATGGAAATCCGGTGCAGAAGGTGAGAGGCTGAAGGAGGCCCAGAACATCAACCGCTCTCTGCTGGCTCTGGGAGATGTGATTCAGGCTCTGAGGGCGCGACAGACTCACATCCCTTTCAGAAATTCTCGCCTTACATATCTACTACAGGACTCTCTAGGAAAAGGCAGCAAGACCGCCATGGTGGTGCAGGTAAGACCGTTTGTATTGGCAGCACTCATCAACTTATCTCTAATGAGCATCGTAAGACATGACTCCAACTGTTTTTGTTAAAGGTCTCCGCTCTGGAGAGCAACGTTGGAGAGACTTTATGCTCACTCAAGTTTGCTCAGAGGGTGTGCAAAGTGGAACTGGGCCCTGCGGCTAGGAAGATCGAAGCCGGAGGAGGCCCATGCGAATGATGGTCAGACAATCACCAGGGAGTGTGCATTAATCAGATCATCATCCATCCTACTCATGATTCATAAGGCTATGGTTTCAACATCCTCACTGCTGCTCAAGGGGTACATCTGTGAGAAGTCTACGGGCTGCTTTAAATGCCCCGCTCGAATGTTGGGTATTGAATCTGTAGTCAGCTTGAATCCTTAAAGAATCTGCACGTAATGCCAGAACCATCTCTGACTGCCTCAGTGTTCAATATGATGCTTCCTTGAACCGGAGTCTCTCAGTTTTTTGTTTTCATTTCCAAAAGCCAGGATCTACTGTATCATCCAAAGGTGAAGTATCGACGCATAACATCACAGCTAGAAATGTCTGTTATTTGTGAACTTATCGCCAACATTGTATACTCTTTAAGGCTTCAGTGCATAGACATTTTTTTGTAGGAAATGTACAGGCTGTTATGATTTAGTCACACATGTAATAGTTTAAAAAAACGTTTTGTGCAACGTAGAAAATGCTGTTGTTTCATCGAAAGCCTAGTTATGTTCAACGCTAAGTACGCAAATTGATCCTTTTGTCCATCCCCTGCGTTCGCAATGTGTGAATAGGGTGAACGTACCCACATGCAGCAGTACCACTCGTCGACGTGGGGGCGGTGTTGCGTAGAATAGCTTAAATGTGCCCACAAGAACAAAACAACCGAAACGCGACGGGAATGTTGTAACCGGGGCTGTTCTCCGTCCAACGTCCGGCTGTATTTATTTTTGACAGGCCGTCGCTGTCTTCTACACTACCTCTGTTTGGACCTCTTTCTGAGCAGGAACAGTCGTCGACACGGCCCCTAGTGGATGAACTGCTTAACAACCATGCCAAATGCAAGGCATGCGGGAGTGTGACGTTAGAAATCAATATTAAACCTATTTACATATGTAAATTCACATATATTCAGCAAATATTTAGCTTTTACCCTTTATTTGTCTTTTATGAAGATACGAAGCTTGCCTTCTTCAAGAGCGGGAAAACAATGAAATGTGCAATATGGCCTTCACTTAGGAGACAGTTTAGGCCTAAGAAGACAAGAAGATGCACTTTATGGTTAAAGGTGTTTTTAAGGCTCTTTTTGGTGCTTGCAGTAGATTGTCACTAGTGTATGTCATACCAGGAAATATGTTTAATCACCCACTGGATCAGAACTCCATGGGATTCAAATGTAGCAAAACATGTAACATAGAAGTAATGTCAGCATTACAAAGTACATTTCAGGTAGTTTTCTGAATAAACAATGTGCTTAAAACGTGTCTGTTTATCTAATGCTCAGTGACTGTTGTTTTTGTTTTGTTTTTTTTTAAGTATATTGTTGCAGTCTTTATCAACACATATTACAAGAAATACAATACACAAGTATGGATTTGTCTTGGGCAAGAAATATTCGCTTCATAAACGTATCTGTATTTCCTTACTGTACTTATCCACCCCCTTGTGGAGAAGTGAGTTACTGATGAAAATACCAGGACAAAACAAACATTGATTAGACTATATATATGCATATGCATACATATATATTTATATATATATAGTCACATTCACATACGGTTTTCTTGTTTTCTCAAAAAACACAAACATTCAAATTATTTGAATTTATTAAAAAAAAATACTTTACACAAAATGCACCTCAAATTCACCACATTTACAGGATGCATTATTACATATCCATATGTAATTACACAGTAACAAAGGTCTGACAGGCCAGGTCAACTGTGATGGTTCAGTCCAAGTAAATTCCGCTCTCACTGTCAAGCATCACCATCACAACTTCATTCAGAGTCTCCCTGCTCCACTCCCACTGCTCCCACTGCTCCTGCCAACTCCTCTTCACTGCCTCTAAGACGATCTCCTGGACAAACCAAAAATGAAAACCAAAAAAGTCAATTGTTTGCTTTAACTTTAGGGAATTTGATTGCATGGCCTACAAAATACTGAGCAACAAGACTTTATTTAGAAATATATGTAACACGTCAGTGTAGACGTTCGACTCTGGCTGTCATCAGACATGCAGCCCCTGTGGGGGGTGAAAACCACAAAGCAATTAACACCATTTCACATTCACACCCAGCTACATGAAAGGACAATACTGACGGATGAGCTCAGCGATGGCTCTCTGTGTTCTCCTCTCCAACTTCTCCAGTTTCTTGGCTACGTCACGTTTCAAGTCCCTGGATTCAGAATCAAGAAGACAAGAACAATGTCAGCAACAAAGTGATCATTCTGATTATTTACAAGAACTGTTCGTGACTCTCACCAATCTGGCTTTCTGGGGGCGAGGTTGGCCAAATCCTGCAGATTTAAGAAACGTACATAAGTGTAGCATTAATGTAGATGTATAAATACATGAAATCATATTTCCATTGAGACTGATTCAATTACCACTTCTTCAATGATGGGTTCAGGATTGACTGCCTCTAATTGGTCTTTAACTTTGTCCTCCACTGCAAGAAAAGTCAGTCAAAAATGTTGCAAAAATACACAACACATGTAAACGGCTTTATTTGGACATTTAGAGCCAAAAAGGTGTCTCCTCCTCTTAGCTCATCATGCCCACCACCATCCTTTTCTACATTTCCTAAATTACTGCCAAAAACAAGATCTATTTACTTTCACAGAGTAACATTCCAATGCAATAAATGTCCCACTTGCAAAAAAAAAAGTAAAATGGGAAAATTCAAGCAGAGGGCATTGTTGTAGATACAGTAACACACAACAATATATTTCCACTGGCCCCAAAACAATAACTTGAAGACTATAGTTGCTTCAAGCTTCTATATTTTGCATAACTACATATAAAGTAAGTCTTGTTCAGTGGCGTTTCATAGTCTATGAACATGTTTGATGTCCCGATAGCCATAAACATTAAGTATAACTTCACTTACAAAACACAGAACTCATTTTGTCCCTGTTTTTAAGGTATTTTAAGGAGGAAAAAAAAAGTTCACACCTGATGCTGGTTTTGCTTTGGGCACCTGTCGTTCCTTCAGCTCTTCATCCTCTGGAGTGTAATTCCTCAGCTTCAGCTCTCTGAGGGCAGAGTAAAGTGAGGAGAGAGAAACTATAGCATTATCATCTATTATTCCACCAGGTGGCAGTGTCGACGTGTTAATTCCACAAAGCAATGACTGGAAGCATTTAGGAACCAACTGAAAACTGTGCCCAGCTGCACATTAACGTGTGGAAGGAGGTTGGGTATAATGGCCCTTCTTTATTACTATGACTACATCTCATTAAGATGTTCCACCTGCTGCCTGGCACAGCGTCAGTGAGAGCAGCTAACAGCTGAGGAATGCAATCCTTGATGTAGAAGTAGGCCCTCTTTCATCACGTCTCCACACCAGCGATTCCTTGGCTAGCACTGACTGACATCTCTGCAGATTACGCTCAAAGTGCACGCAGCTAAACTGCCATCCGACAAGAATGATCAGCTGCTGGGAGCTAAGCATGGATTCATGATGAAGCCTGAGAGAGTGCAATCCCACAACATCCATTACAGTCTGGCTGACACTGCACAGACCACTGCCTTATATGGCTAAGGGCAGAAACTCCAGTAATGTTGTGAGGGCAGCTGACTGAAGTCCAATCATAGTCCAGAGATCGTCTCACCAGCCCCACCCTGGAAAATGCTTTCGCTGAACTTTTGTTATCATGGTAAAAATATTTTCTTAATAGTGACCACCAGTCATTGGTGGCAGAAATAATGGGCAAAGGTTTTAGACTACTAATTTATGTCGATATGTTCTTTCCTATAGATTTTGAACAAAATCTATTTTTTATTGTAATGGTAAAAGTTGACCTGCTGGGCCTTCTTGCAATTACTCCATGACCCCAAGGGATGTCCACCCCCCAAATTGTGAATCACTCTTCTGTACGGTAAGGTCATTCAGATCAGTATAATTTTGTCTAAAGACACAGACAATCAGTTGGGAACTGAATATTTGTGTTAAGTCAGTTGACAAAGAAATCAACCATCACAGTCACTCTATGATGTATGGAAACCAGTGTGGGATGTTTACACAAATCCACCTCCAGCACTGAGGCATCAGCGCAAACCAGTGATAAATTGTTCAGAATTAAGTAGTAAGTAAGAAGGAAAAGCAGAGGTTTTTAGCAGAGCCGTTCAATGAAGGTGAAGCTCAAACTCCAAAATGTTTTATTGATTTGTATTGATATTTAACCACATTAGTCCTGTCAAGTTTCACAAAAGCCACAGTGAGATAGAGGTTAGTTAAAGAAAAGGAAGCACTTGTTTGCCGGTGGCAATGTTTTGGAAATTTGACCTCCCATGAAATTTTAATAATAATCCCAGGATACATTACACCAGTGTGCTGTTATATGCTCGTTTCATGACTTTGCAACTTAGATATGTATACACTTTTTTCTTTCCAGTGACTGATGTCTAAATGAGGTTACATAAATGTTGACTTGTTGTGGTTCTAATGAGAAAGACAAACGGAAAGGGAGACAGACAGACAGACAGAAAGAGAAAGAGAGGGGGCGGGGGGAGAGAGAGAGAGATCTGTCCTGTTCAACTGGAGGAAACACTGAGACACTCCCTAAGTGTCGTCAACACACAGTCATTAGATATAAACAATGGAATAAAGGTCCTGTAGGACAGGAAAGATGGCTGCTCTTCCTGCATTGTGAGACACACCGTCAGGGGAGCTGCAGGTCATTTGACAGACTTATCCTACAACACTGTGGTCTAGCTGTGTAAACACATAAGACAGTCTTAAGATAGAGGACAGATAAACCCTCCCACTATCAACATAAATCTTAGGTACCAGCTCTGGTTGTGCAGCTTAAAAAATCTTTGGCCTTGAGGCAAGAAATCATGTGACAGCGTAAAGTAACATGCCACATTTTGTAAGAGAACAAGTAAAACAATGGACCAACCTGTGCCTGCCTTCTGAAGCCTCCTCTAAAGAAGCTTTTTTCGACTCCGGCTCCCCATCTTCATTTTCTCTGCCCTGTTGAAAAAAAAAAAAAACAGATCATGAAGTCCTTTAGTTTTATAAAGATACTGCAAATAGACATCTATATAACATTTTTATTTCAGTTATTAAACAATCCGGCTAATGAAAAAATATATGTCTACACCGACATACAGTAGTTGTAAAAGTATGAGAAAAAGAGAGCGAAAACAATTGACCTCCAGTGGAGACTCTAACAACGGCTAACAGACCCTCCCATCTTACATTTTCCTGAAGAGGCTTCCTGTATAGCTGCTAGAACAATTCAGTGTACTGAAACATTCTTAAAGTGTAGCACAAAGGGGAAAATTAACACAGGCCTCAGGAATGTCAACTGTCATTTATCAAACATTTCTAGCCAAGCTAGTAGGCTTATATTCTTTCAATAGCTGGAGAAACTTGTTTGTTAACTACTGTACAAAACGGCAGCTCAACCTTACACACTGACAAGTGTCTCCTGCTACAAGATGAGTTCATAGTCACAGCTGACCGATTTCAAAAGCAGAGAAGAATAATTAAGACATGTAAGCAACAGAGGTGCAGCCACTAAAAAGGAAAGAGTTTTACAGCTCGTATGTATAAAGTTTTTTAAATTATATATTTTATTTTATCTGTAAGACAAACAGAGAGAATCTTTACCAAATACAGGCTCCATCTGTATTGCTTGTGTTTTCAGTTAAATGATTATATCACTCAACAACAAACTCACAGTCATTTATTGGTTCAATTGTATGACAGTGTGATGTCAAATATGAGGCCTTATCATTCATGTGTTGTCATTTACTGGTGATTATAGTTGAAAGATGTAGAAGAAAAACATGTGAAGAAGGGAAGGACTTTTTAAACATTGCTTCATCACTGTCAAATTAGCTAAACGTGGGTGGAGCTTAAGGTGCAGCTGTAATTTCAGTAATACTACTAATCATAAGCTTCTACTGTTCAGCTACTAAAACTACAAATAAAAATCACCATGTACTGTACAGTATATACTCACAGTTACCACTAACAGAATATAAGATCTTGTATGAACTATAATTAATAAAAGAAATCAAGCGAAAAGGTTACACATATTTTAATGTGGATCACTCTGTACATTTCTACAATCTTTACGTGAAATGTGTAATGAATTTACTGTGGTCGAAGGATTTGTTTGTAGTTACCAACAACAATTTATGATCGTCTTCGTAGTAAACGATGATTGCTTTTTCGTGTGATTTTTCAATTGATGGGGGTGATGTAGTACTAGACAAAATATATAAATAGTACAAATAGTTTAACAGTTTAAACTATTTGGATTTTCAAGGCAAAAAACATCCTTTAAAATACATGATCCAATGCATAAATACGTCGCGAACGTCAGTATCTGTGAAAGAAACCATGCTTGACGTCGGGAACTTTGTCAGTATCTGTGAAAGAAACCATGCTTCTTAGCTCAGCTATTTAGCCCAGGAGTCAAACTGGTTGATGTCGATCATGAAGACACTTTTAACAACAATAATAAGAAACCTTAACAATAATAAAAATCTTTCCAACACATTAACATTTTGGGATATCCGAATAATTGTGCTATACACACGTAAGTGGTAAGCTAGGTCTGCTAACATAGCTAACGTATGGAGTGAGCGCGTTTTCTGGCTTAATCGCCTTTATTATGGCCTAAATGCAGGCGGACTTGCAACTTACATGGACTTTTTTGTCTCGAAGCGCTTTTAGCCTCTCTTTCCTCTTCAGCGCCTGCTCCTGAAGTGACCCAACATTTTTCTCCATGTTTGTTTCTGTTCTATGAGCTACACACGCTAATCGACTATTTCCGAAGTCCCCTACTCATCCTGGCTGCGGATAACGATCGTCGAGCACATCGCTTGCAAGTCCGTTCTTGATCACGTGATTTTGTTTCGTTTGTATAGGTTATTTACATAAATCAGCAATTAATTGATAGTATTTTTTAATTAAAACTTAATTTGTTTCCATTGCTGTTATGTTAATTGTTTAACACCAGGATGTATATTTTATGTATAATGTATTAATGTGAATTTGATTGGTAGGAGTTATATTCAGGGTTTTTTTTTCAACAAACAAATAGATTGTTTAAAAAAATCTACATGGAAATATTAATAAAACATTTTTATAGAATAAATGGAATTATCACACAGGCTTCTAAAAGTGACACAATGTTCTGCCTATTGATGGTCACACTGTCATGTCCTTGTTAGGAATGTAGGGCATTGCTATGGCAATACAGCTGCCTCAAGTTTCGCTGTGACCGTCCTCTTGTAATCATCAGTTAGATAAAGATTAAGTCGTGACAAGATAAAGATGAAAAATGTAATAGACAACACATTACGTCATAGTGTAACGGTCATTATACCTGCCTTACACACAGAAGGTCCTGAGTTTGAGCCCCAGTGGATTTAGTCCTCGTGTAAATCGCTTTGGATAAATGCATCTGCTAAATGCATAAATGTAAACATCATCAGAATCATATATTACTTGATTGTTAATATCATATCACACACCTACATCCTCGAAGTGAACCAGTACAGATAACAGCCCAATATACTACACCGCAGTATGAGTGAACACAGTAGATAAAAGTCTCTAAACTATCTGTAGAGCACAACAGACAAACTGCATGTCCAGAGAAGATTGATACATTCTGTATTTGTGCATGCTGTAGGAACAAACCCTCACATGAAAGAAATGGTGGTTTTATTTGGTTAAATGTTGTTTGTCTTCCATTATTCAGCCTCTATAAAGAACAATGGATATTTTTTAAAAATCTATTATATTATCTTAGATAATTTATAGGCAATGTCTCTTATTTTAAAGTAAGAAGACTAGGCATACTCTTTAGATAGTTATATTTAAAGATTGCTTTGTTGAAGCTCTTTTTCATCCTTCATTAAAACTATACAGGAAGGAAAATGCGTTTTATTATTAATAGAATTTCTATCCCTCTAACTCTGTATTTGACAGTGTACACTTAGGGACTGTAGTGACTTCTCATTTTGATGTGCATTATTTCATGTGTTGAATGACAATAATATTCTATTTTATTATATTATATTCTAGTCTATTCTCCTGCAGGAAAGGGAAGAAGCTAAATTAAAAATGTTATTTGAAAAATGTGGCCCTATTTTAGGCACCTGTTCTTATACTCCAACACAGATCACCCAGGTCTGTTAGATGCTCTAACATGTCTGCAGACTGACAGCCAGTCTTTACTTCAGTCTTGTGTGTATTGCATCTGTTGCTTCCGCTGTAACTCTCTCCATTAGGAATCCTACTCCACCACCTCCACCACCACCAGCAGCAGCAGCAGCTTCAGTCAGAACAGGAGGCTCGGTCTAAATGCGGACATGGGTGTTTCTCAGTGCACGTATCTCCACGCAGTTCTGTTCCTGCCTCCAGCATTTCGACACTGATCGCTCCGTTTCCACGCTGACACCGTCATGTTTTCTCTTCACCCCACTCTGGCAACTTTGACCGCGGCCATCAGCACTTGAGTGTGGGTTTATGTTAGTGGATCTTTTCGGAGCAGAGATGGTTCATAGGAGCGCAGCGCGTCCTCCTGCCTTCAGGAAACAACTTCACACAGATCCGGCTCTGTGACCATGCTCCACATTTTGACCAATTTTGTTGAAAAATAAGAGGGAACAAAGGGCCGATGATGAGCAACCATAAAAGCGGAGGGGTGGCATCGAAAGAACGGCTGTACGAGCTGTGGATGTTGTACTACACCAAGGTGAGTGAGTGAGAGAGTGCGGAAGACCTGCCGCTGACACCTGTTGTTACGGCAGCTCCAGTAGCAGCAGCTCAGCGGGAAGTTTAGAACAAGAGCCAATAAATATCGCAAAAAATATGTCTGTGAGCCTCAGATCACACATGCTGTGTTTATGTTCCAGTTATGTGTCATTCTGTTTTGTCATGGAACCTTTTGACGAGGAAGTGGCCTTTTCTCCACTGTTTGTCCAGCAGATGTTTGTTTGGCCGGAGGTGAAGGCTGCCCTCTGCGCACATTTCAAGGATATCATGTTACGTGTGTGTACCTGTCACACTGGGCCGCTGAAATGACCAAAGTGTGGCGGCATACGAGTTAAATAATCCTAATAACAAAGCCTCGTCTGTCGGTTTATGTACCTGCAGCGCAGGTGGTTGTGACCTAAACTTCCTGTTCCTGTTCACTCGGTTCATGTGTGAATTTGCGTGTTAATGTGTTTTGCTAAAGACTTCACATTTAGTTTTTCTGTCACTGTCACTTAGAACCTAATTGGTCAACCGGTTAGTCAAGATAAATCATTCCAGTTATAACGATGCTTTTTTTTAATTCATAGCATTCAAGAGGTTTGAAGGTGAAGCTAAAGGCTAAAGTCCATCGATGGTCTCAGGACAGGTTTCTGAAAAGAATGATTATGAGTTATTATGAACAGGCGAAGTTGTTTTCTACGACTATTTTAAACAAAAGACATCAGAGTTTTCCTTCTTCTCCTGCAGGGCGCTGCTATAAACACAATTTAAGCACCGCGTCAACTAAAGTCCTGTAATGTGGTTTAACATTTTAAATGTGGGTAACTATTGTTGTCCAAGTGAGTTGAATAAGGCTCGATTTAATCAGTGGCACCCATGAAATGTATAATAATAATAACAACACCACAATAATAATGCATGTCATTACACATAACCTGTCAAAGCACCCGAGGACGCTGTCCAACAAGCAAAAGTCGAAACAAACAAACAAAGTAGTTTAAATAAGTGATCTATGGTCTGACATGATGTCCCTCACGTTAACAAACCTGTTAATAACAAGACACATTTTACAACCAACATTTCTATTAGCAGTTATGTTGGTCGCAGTAGCAGAAGTAGGAGGTGTCCATGTTTTGCCTTTGCCATGCCCTGAATGTTTTATACGTTTAAAGGGAACCAAAACTATGACTAGGGTGGGAACATTTTTCATCACCATGCCTGGGAACCTAAACTCTGTGACTCTCTGCTGAGTAAAATTTTATTCTATTTTTCACAACTGCCTAAATCGGCCAGTGTGTGTGATGCTTTAGTCCCACTGTTGGCTGCAACAGCTTTAGTTGGATATTAAAGTGCAAAGTGCTCGGGAGAAGTCAGACCGGCTGGTTGTGAATAAATTAAACATTGCTGTTCAATGCATTTACAATATGCTACTCAGCCTGAGGACAGGCAAACAAGAGGAGACTACTGTGTCAAGTATGTCTGTACTGGATGCTCGTCGCGGAGCCTGGGGACACTTGTTTTATCCGTGCCGGTTGTTTCGACATGGCAAACATGGGATTTTCCCACAGTCTCTGAACAGGCAGATTGGAGGTTGGATTACTGTGTTTATAAGTCGCACCATCTTTGGTAGTTTGTCTGGTGCTGCGACTTATATTCCAAACACTTTAATGTCAAAATATTTGCCATATCATCTATCTCCACAAGAGGTGCTGTCTGCGTTTGTGACAGTTGAACAATGCTACTCTACCATACCACTTAAAGTAATACAACTAAACCATGAAGTCTAACATAAGAACATTATTATTATACTCCGGTGAGACTTAGAGTCCGGAAAATTCGGTACACAGACACTTGACTGGTGGAAATGTCATTGGTGGGTGTGTGTAGGTGTGTGTGGCTGATTTGACAACTGTCTTAAATCGCCATGTGAGAAACCACCACCACCATCAGCTGCTGTTTGACTCATTGATGCTACTTCTCAGCTACTGTGATGTGTAAAAAAGAAAAAGTAAAACCCGCGAAAATGTTCTTCCTCTGTTTCATACCCAAGGATGAAACAGTGTAACTACTGGTTCCATAGCTTTTTCACCTGTGGACTTTGCATGTGTGCAAATCGAATGTCCCTACAGCCAGGAAGGACGGCAGAGGAAAAGTGATTTGACTGAGCAGATCAGTGTCACCACCTTCTGTGACTCAGAGAAAAACAGGCTGCAGAACCACTTTAGAGAACAAACACCTGCCCTTTATTTAGACACCAACGTGTCATTTGGTTTAATGTTATTTGTTGTCTGCCTGTCTGTCAAGTTAGTGCAGAGGATACACCTACAGACTCCAGTGGAAAAATGTCTTAATTTTACCACTGGAGTGGAAAAATTAAGACAAGAAATGTACGGTGTTCCCAAATTATCTTCAGTAAACCGGAGGTCAAAGTGCCTTGTACTTTGTCTTTTATTAATGTGATTATAATGTAGTAGTGCTGGTCAGACACTGGCTCCTTCAGTCAAATAAAACACACCCACACAGCTGTTTCACACACACCCTGAACGTCTAAATATAAATGTGAGTGATGTGTAATAATGGCCGACTCAAATATTTTTAATACAGAGCACTTCTTTCCAAAAAGTGTGAGTTGTAATAAAATAACATTACATAATAAAATATTGTCAGACGCGCCTCTGGTCTCACCAACCGTTTTTTTTTTTATTATTATTATTATTTCCTTTGTCAAGTTCTTGTCCTTGTTACATTTAATTAAATTAGGCATTTCAAATATAACTTACAGAAATGAACAATTTCAACAATAACAACCAAACCCTGAAGGAAAACCTGTTAAAAAGTGTTTAAGATTTTTCAGAGATTTTTTTATGCCAAAAATTAAATTAAATTCAGGCTTCAGACCAGGCAACAGATCATGTTCTGACCTGAATTCTACAAAAAAAGCAATCATTTAATGAAACCACACCCAGCAGTCATTTTTAGACCTAAAAGAGAGATATCGAGAGGGATACCCCCCACCTCTCCTTTTTACCATACATAATACATGGGTTTGTTTCTGACAGTTTGTCAAAAATGATTAAGCTAATGCTGTAATAAGTCTGAATATCTGATTTCATCATTTCTCAGTATGTGCATCTGAGGCATCTCTTAGGTTTTGCAACAGGACAGAGTTGGGCCTGCTCGGGCTCGTTGGTGGAAGAGGAACTCTGTTTCCTTCGATTGTGCAATAAAATCCCACACCCCTGGCGAGACTTTTTCAGATGAACAGAGGTTTAGGAATGATCGGAAGCTTTTAATGAGGCTTGCGTTGAAATCAACCAGTTGCGAGACATCACAGTGAATGGAACAGGCAGCCACTGATTGAACACATTTTTAGAAAGTTGTTACATGGATTGACAAAGTGTTTCCAGGTTTTAGAAAATTATTTTTTTATGTCACATCAAATGAAACCATGCCAGCAAACCCACGTAGGTGCTCACGCCTTTCAGTGAAAACCAGCTCTACTGGAACTATTTTCGGACTCATCAGAGTGGAGATGAGACAGTGTTTCACAGACCAGTGTCAGTGCTGCTGCCTCACAGGTGTGGATGTACACAAAGGTGCGCGATTAAATCACGGATGTAGTAAAATATTTGACAGATCAAATCATTGATGACAGCCAAACAGCATTATTCAACACAGTCCTGATGTCAGAATGTACTGTAATAACCTTTACAGGTCACACCTCATTAAGGCCTGTTTTATATTTCTAGTTGAGGGTATAACTGTGCAGCAGTTCAGTTAGGTAGTAGTTGTTGAATTAGCCTAGCGTGGGAATCTTCAAACTCCTCATCAAAGGAGCCATGTTTATCATTTCACCACTTAAAAGAGTTTGTTCAAGACCCAAAGGTCCACAGTGCAGTTTTTGACAGTATGTTTTGAATACTGTAGTCGTACTGTGGCATTAAAGGTTAAAATTCAAAATGTATATTCTCAGAATGTAAAAAATGTCTTCTGCTACAGGCACTGCTGCTAAAAATATCATAACTGTCCCAGAAGAAGACAGTGACATTATACTGTGTTGTTGGCAACTAGCTGAATATTAAGTGTAAATGTTAAATTGACTTAAAGACATTATTGGACCTTTATATTATATTATATTATGTTATAGGACATTGATATGACCGCTGAATTATTTTAGACAATTGTGAATACTGTTAGATGTGAGTCCACCACATGTTGTTGAATAGTATGTGATTAGCTTGTGATTATTAGCTTTAGAGAATGCTGGAGTGACTAATTAGAGCCTGTAGTATCAGGAATGGTGAGAAGCCAATTTCCTCATGGACACAGCTGTGAAATCACCTCCCGTACTTGCCATGAGGAGATAATGAGCAGTTTTGTTGTTGTTTTTTTTTCTCTGCCATATTTCCATCTCTGTAGAGTGATCCAACAACAAAAGCAGCCATCTTTACAGTTGACTAATCGCCTTGTGAACGCTGTGATCAAATTCCCCCATGTGTCTCAGTGTCCCCTGTTGACCAACAGAGCTGCCAAGCAGCAAAATCAAAGTGCTCTTTGCTCTCACTTGTGCAGGATGCTGGAGTGAAGCAGAATGCCAAGCAGCGGAGAGAAACACAGCTGCTTGGCCATGTGCAGAGAGAAGAGAGATAAATGACACTGTTTATAATGGCTGGTACCTCGTAGCTGCCTTTTAAGATCCGCTCTAACGGTGTGTTTAATGTGTTCATTTTCTGCTGGGCAACCACTGAGCTCTAGGCAACGCTGTGGAGTTGATAAAACAGCAATAAGGGGATATGGATTTCTTCAGATGTGCTGATCAACATTCATCCATCCACCTATCAATGGAGTTGTGGAGCAAGTTTCACAGTCATTCTGCTTGAGTAAAGAAAAAGGATGATAAATCCAAGATCTACAAATAATTAATGACAAGTCTTTTGAATTTGAACTTTTTTGTTATTTGACGATACAATTCCCATTAATCAACACAATGGAATAAAGTCTAAGCTCCCAGCGTTGAATGTATGATATATAATGTTGAATATGGTCTTTCTCTGTGGCTGTTGATGATCATAAAACCTGTGGGAACAGATTCTTAGGCCATTATAAAAAATAAATAGTGAAACCTAGGATCATAGACCATTGGACCATATTTTGTACAATAAAATGCAACTGGTATCTAATGTCATCTGCAATTCTCAGGGCGTTGATTGTTCATGAAGTAGAGTGAAATTCAACTAAAGTGCGCTGTACAATATTATCTCAATATTAACTACCTCCTAACAAAAACTGTATAAACTTTAAACAAAAACATAAACTTAATATTCACTGTTAAACCTAATATTATTTCTGTCACATATTTACTGACAAGATGACTAAACCGTCGAGCTTGAGAAGGAAGGTTTTGGAAATAAAAACTTTTTTTTAAATTTTAATTATTTGAACTGCTCTTTCTCAAGTTAAACATCCTCAACCCTCCACTGGGCCCAGGTTGGCTCACAAGCTGAGCTGAGCACGGAGTTGTGTTTAGGCAGCGTGTCACTGTATAAAGTGCAGAACAAATTTGCAAAGTAACAAAGACTGTTGTCAATCAGCGTTGGTGTGAAGTGTCACTGTTTCTATTCATTACGCAACATGTCCCTTGCACTTACGTTAATTGTGGATGTGTCCTACGCAAGGGGACATGAAACGATGGTGAGTCATGAACTGCAGTCATTATGACCCGTTTGGGAGGAGTAAAGTCATTCTGCTCTTGTGTAGTGGAAAGGAAAACAAAGACAAAGGGGTGTTGCAGGTATTTCTGTGTCCGTGCCTCTCCTGCTCAGGCCTCAAATACCTGATGGTCCAGACGTTGGAGGCAGAGAACAATAGCTTGTTCACTGTTTCCTTTTCCTTGTGGAGAGAGTTTCATATATACTGTAATAATTTTTTTAAAATACTTTTGTAAATGTCTCAGAACAATTTATTTTTGCTTCTTTTGTAGTGTAGTTTTTGATGTGTTTTGTTTTTCACTTTGATCACATTTTACTATAGTTGCATTCCGGCTTCCTTATTGGTTATTGGTGCCTGTACGGAGCCAATGTCACCTCTGCTCACACGGCGCCACTGTCATATCTGCTCAGGACTAGCATAAGAAGCAAAGAAGGAAGGGGTTTGATGAGGCGTACAGAGGAAATGAGCTATGGTTAAAGTGACATGTCATTTCCTGGATGTTCACTTGACACTCGGAGAGGAGAAGCGAGCGGGTTGGACGGCGCTGCTGACTGAAGGAGTGATGTGCAGCGGCTGAGCTGCTGACTCTGGACTACACACTGAAGACTGGGTTGACTAAAACCCGGGCGCCTGGGTCAGCTGCGTACAATGAGAGATGGACTGGCTCATAAGTCAATGCCAGTTGGTAATGTACATTTAAAATGACTGCAGCTTTATTAGAGTCACACAGTCACACAGGGTTGCCAGAGTCAGATGCATTCGTTTTCCATTACATTCTGTAGAGGAAGTGTGAACATTATGTGCACATTAGACATGCCGTGAGCTCCAACAGGCAGAACAGCTTAGAGCACTTTACACCAAGGTCATGGTGCAGCCCTAATTGTTGCCCACATTATCAGCAGGACGTTGTTCATTTGTTGTACTTTTTGGTCTGTTTGTCTTCAGGAAGTATGAATGCCTTTCACAGGGAGATGTTTACCTTAGGTTATTTCTGTGCCGCGAGAACAAAACTTAACCATCTCCAATCACTCGCAATTGTTTTCCAAGAGGCTGCTGTGTCACAACAGAGCTAATGGGCATTACTAATCAAAGATTTCACCATGTTCCAACTCACAGTACATGCAGCCTGGTTACAAGATGTTCTGTTTAGTTTGACTTTGTCAAATGTGTGTGTGTGTGTGTGTGATGAGTGCACTGCAGGAGCTGATTAAAGCTTTGATAATGACTCCTTCACACTGGCATCCTCGTACACTTGAAGCGCCCGTTCAGCTGTGTTTATTGTAGTAACGTGTCTTCAACACAAAGCGGGGTGGAACGTACGAACTTGAGTGAACATAAAGAAACGGGAGGATGTTTGGACTTTGTTGCAGTACACCTCCCTTTTTGAAAAAGGACAGAATTGGCTCATGTGTTCCTCTCTGAGGTACAACATCCTGTTGCAAAAAAAAACAGGTCAAATGATTCAGTCAAGTACAGAGTTTTCAATCTCAGTGTCAAAGTTTGTTATAATGTAGGAAAAGCAAATAAAGAGCAGAGAATGCTCTTTGTGATCTTTAAATCATGCATCTGTACTGTGTATGAGCATCTAAGCGCCAAAACTAAACTCATGTTCTTTTCTCCCCCCTTGCAGAAAGATGTGGGCTATCTGCAGCAGTGGTTGGAGGCTTTTGTGGCATCCTTTGAGCGGCTCATTGATGTGCACTCACTGGAGCCTCGGAGGTGAGCTGACATTTACCAAATGATCGACAACCTAGACATAAAAACCTCACATTTCCTAAAGCAGTGCCAGCTGCGACTTTCGTTGCAGACGCTGTTTTAACATGTTTACGCGATCCGTCGACTCCCACTGACACTGCCTCCCTTCTCCTTCCACATCACCTCACTTATCTTCCTCCGCATGTCCTCCAGGCTGGAGGAGTCCAGCTCCGAGGTGCCCTCGCTCCCCAGAGAGGTCTTGGTGTTCCTTAGCACGCAGCTATGGCACAGTGCACTCCACCTCTCCGGCGGCGTCGAGCAAAACAGCAGCACACCACACCCACTGCTCCTCATCAAGTTCTTCATCATCATCTGCAGGTACGATTGAGTCGTCTGTCGGCATGGAGACTCTCTACAGTCAACGTTCTCAAAGGGTGCATGTTGTGTTTAATCACGACTGGAGCCTGGATATATAAAAATATGTACTGAAGTCACCTCACCATACTGGTTAGAATAGCTAAAAATAAATGTATCTATCAGAGCATTACACTGACTCACATGTATTTCTTTCCTTCTTCTAGAAACCTGGAGAACATTGACCAAGAAAAGACGCCGGGTTTTGTGTTTGAAACCATCAGGCTTTTGAATTTCTGTCTGCACCAGGTGAGGCTGTCGTTAATGGGATTTAAAAGATAACTGTGAGTGTTAGCTGATGCAGTCTGGATTAGTATTACTACAAACAAACCTGGGTCCTGTTATGTTTAATACATATTTTGAAAGCCACAACGTAGCAGAAATGTGTAGCACTCTTTGCTGTAAAGCAAAAAGAAAACTTGGTGATTAGTTTGATTTCCCATCTTTCAGTATGGAATTTCACACTGGACCTTGACTTTTAGTATTGGCTCCAACTCCCCCTGATCAAGTTGAATATATTACTTAATAATTATTATAATTTCAGCACACTAATAAATTCAGTTGAACTTGCAGGTTTTTTTAATCATCATATTTCTCAGCTCAGGTGTTAAAGCAGTTTCCTAATGATTCAAAGTCTGTACTGTTCTGTCTCCAACTGTGAATCAGTTCCAAAGGTCTGACATTTTTAAAAACATCTAAAAGGACCACACACGCGGTCGGCACTTACAGATTTATACTGCTGTGAAAATAGGAAGAAATCTTTTTCTCCTTTTTTATTTTGTTGACAGGCTCTACTTCTAATAATTGTTGTTAGCCTTCGATTTTTAGTACATTTTTTCTTTACATGTTTTATTGCTGTATATTTACAAATTAGGAAACTATTGACTATCGTTGTGTGTTTTAGCGCCATTTGATGAATAAAGTCTTAAATCTTGTATTTTGAAAAAATGCCAAACAGAAGAGAAGCGTAAATTGTCCAGTTCCTCATTCATGACATTTGAAACTGTTGTTTAGTCGACTCCTAGCATTCTATTAGCATTGCTTTTAACTGCATTATAAAACACCTGTATCTTCTGCAGCTCAAACGTGGACAAGGAGAGCTGCCTTCTCTGCAGTTGGTGGTGCAGTACGGACTGGTGCTGTGTGAGAGTCTCTTTGACCCTTATCAAACGTGGAGGAGACGCCTAGCAGGGTGAGTTTGTCTCGTCTCAACTCAGGAGTTCGCCTGAATGTGTGTAGGAGGTGGAATTCAGTCGCACAAAGACTAAAAGAAGTTGCCCAACATTTTTGCTTTTTGTGACACCTCATCCTGTTGCTTTTTTGTTAAGCTTCTTTAAGTGCCACTACTATTAGTAGCTGTTGTGCTCTGATTAAGCGATGGGTTTGTAAAAGTGTCATGACCTCTGAGACGTTTTGTGCTGCAGGGAGGAGGTGAGCTTACAGGAGAGGAACAAGTACAAGTTCTCCCCCTTGGCCTTACCGGAGGAGCTGCCTGCTCTCTTCAATGGTGAGACACTCCCTGTGATCACAGTCAGTTAACGCCATGAAATTCCGCTTTGGATTTAGGTTAGGTTTACATAAGAGAATTTAAATATTTAAATTTTCCACATGAGAAAAAAGGTATTGAAATAATGCTGATGCTAATGCTACTAATGTCCATTAGAAAACTGAAATATTGGTCAAGTTGAAATATCAAAATATTTTATATTATATTATTGTATAAACTATATATTTTCTATTATTTATTTAAGAAAAATAACAATATTTCTCACAACACACACTCAAACACTTTGAAATATCAATATTGTTTTATCAAAAAATATATAACTAATTGAAATACAATAATAATTAATTAAATAATTATAAAATGAATTTAAAATATTAAATGTTGCACATTAGAAGAGATTAATATTAAAATTTTGCATGGGAGGTATAAAAAAAACGCAGTTAGCATCCTTTCTTTCATTTCTTTCGGTGAGTTTCCTTTTCCACAGACATAAGCCTGATTTAAATATTGTTTTTGACAATTACAAAGAACTAGTCCTTCTACTTACAGTATGTTAATTGGTTGGCAGATTACTTTAAGACAATAATACAATGTATGAAAGTTTCATTCACCTTCAAACGTGCATATTTATGGGAGTTTAATGACCTGTGAGGAATGTGGCTCAGCCCTGAAATGTTTACCGATGTCCAAACCAGAGGAATTATCCAAAGCTCTATTTGAAATGTTGAGTCTGTCTGTGTAATAGTCTTGCCAAATAGGCTTAATGATGATGCAACCCTGGTTTAGGTTGGTGGCAGTGCAAGAGAATTTTAAAAAGCGTGTTCAACTGTTATTGTTGTTATTTTCTGTTGTCTATTTTTTTAATCAAAAGTACATTTTGAGTAATTTTTCAAAATTCTCAAGGAAGGTAATTACACCATACAAGTTGGCTAATTGCTGTGCTAACTATTCTACGTTCTGCTAACCACCTCTCTTATTAGCCATTAGCTGTGCTCTTCTATTAGCATTGTTGCTAAGTTTGTAGCATTTGATCACCAAACTTAACTATAAATATATAGATTAAAAGTGTCTGATGTATACCTTATTATAGGTTACCTTTTTTAACTAACTTTTAGCTAACTTTCTGC